CACATTCTGCCCTCGGCTTTCAACTCCCGTTCGCAAAACAAAACGCATTTGTCTGATGGGGGGGTAAAAATAGCGCCAGTGATGCACTCCAGGCTAACTTGGACGCACGCGTACATGGCACGCTTCACACCAAAACTGGCAACACAACTCAGCCAGGGAGTGGCATCCCATTGACAAATTGAGGAATCTGAAAACACTTGATTTTGTCATGAGATGGATTCCAAAACCGTTTTTGCATCACTTGATTTCATCCTTGCTTTCATGACACGACACCTACGGGAGACGCTGCACGAGGACAGGCGAGTGCCATCCGAGTGCCATCCGAGTGCCATCCGAGTGCCATCCGAGTGCCATCCGAGCGCCCGGACTGCAAAAGCTTCGAATGCAAATGTGATTTATATCTTCATACAAAAGGGGTCTCTCGGATGGATTTGAAAAACTTTGGGATTGTACCGCCGACATTGACACGGGGGGGGGGGGGCGCCTCTGTCACCAAGAGGAAAAAAAAATATTGGAATGCGCCATATGCGGTGACCACGATTAAGAGACTCTCAGGCCACGCTGAGCCTGCCAGTCATGTTTTTTTTTCCTCATTCAGATCATTTGATTCTTGGTTGTCGATGTTTTTCTCGGCTCTATTTTGCTGCATCTGCACCCATACGGTGACAACAAAGGGCTTCAAGATATTCTGTCGCATCGCTCTTTCATTACACAACCGCCACAGTTATGCTTCTTTGTCATGTAAACAACAAAAGTTGCGTTTCAAAGATGACGCCGCGAAAGCCGTTACGAGTGCGCAAAACGGCTCGTCATGTCACACGTGGAGCAACGAGAAAGGTCACGCGACGTTGGCGCTAACTTGGCGTCATCCCGGCAGGCAGCCGGTCAACTTCCAAGCGTTGGATGCTGCCGTTGTTATCGCTAGCTTCACCATAGCCACCTTCAACTGGACCCCCGATGGATATCAACTCCACGAATCGAGTCCAGGGAATCTAACATGGCCTCGCACATTTCAGGGAATCCGCCAGCTTCCCTGAAATGGCCGAAGGCGCCCATGAGGAGGAGCAATGAGCCACAGAGGCTCCAGTGTGTGTGTGTGTGTGTGTGTGCATGTGTGTGTGTTGGAGGAGTTAGTACCTGCTCTTCACAGGCGGTTCAGTGGCAACAAATGCGACCTGATTGCGCGTCTTCAAAGAGACAACAAACAACAAAGAAGAAGATGATGTCCTCTCCGACGTGAAGGACAGACTGAACCACGGCATCACAGCCACAAAATCCATCCAGAAGCTTCTCATGCAAACAACCAACGCATTCTATTGAGAATTATTTTTTTAAACAGGTCATTTTCATGGAATGTCACTTTTAATTTCCTTCCTTTCATCTTTTGTGTTGACTGGCTACAAATCAAATCACGAAAATGCCGTAATGTGTGTGTGTTGGGGGGGTCGGGTCAACACCCACACTTTTGCTGGTCAAAGTTGTATAACACCCACACAGTTCTACAGGTAACAAGACTTCACAGCCAGACCTTTTGGTTTTTAATGAGGTGAAACGGTTCAAGATCCACATTATTTCCCAGCTGAAAGGATTCAACACCTACATTTTTTTCCCCACCCACAATTCAGCACTTTGACTTTTGACACACCCGCTAAAAGGGTTTGACACATTTGACAGCTGAAAAGGGTGGAACATCCACACACTTTCTCCTCATGCAAAGGTTAACCACCCACATGATTATTATTCCAACCGACGGCTTTGACACGCATATAAATACTCTCAAGTATTACAGCCCAATCAACATTTCGATAAAAGGGATTTTAAAAAACATAACATCTAAAAATGGACAAAGCCACAAGGACACTTTTGAATTATTTTACAGCTGCTCCTTTTCGTTTTTTTTTTTTTTTTTAAACTCCACAAGAGACCTTTATCCATGAACGTAATATCCTCCGAAGAGTGCAAAGATCGTATATTCGAAGCCGATCGTGGAGTCGGGCAATAAAAAAATTAATTGTGTTTGATATTTCAATGTTTTTTGGGGAGGGGGTCGGGGACGATTGTGAGCACATCTTTCACCTTTCTTCTCCTTATAAGGATTTAGAAATCAAACTCATAATCGACTGCCTCGGAAGCTTTCATAAGAGCAAGAAAGACGCGCCGTTGTCGCGAAACGAAGCATCAAAATGAGAGCTCGTTTGCTACTGGAGGGGAATCAGGTGCAAATATTCAACCTGCATCATGACGCAACGCGAACTCAAAGAACACAAACAATCGACGGAATGATGACATGGTTCAAGGGTTGTGACGTCAGACGTTTTGCGTTCGTTGGTTTGGGCAGTTGGGCTTCAGAAACGAACTTTTTTGTGCCCCGAAAAAGTTTCGCTTGATCCTTTCTACCTCCGCGTCTGCGCATTTCAAAGCCACGCTCGCGCACTTGAAAGCAAACAAGAGCGGCGTGACACGTTTTCCTCATCCAAATGGTTTCAAAGACATTTCTAAATCAACCCAACGGTACTTCGAGGTCACTTTCAAAAACAAACCGCTGTACACGAAGCAGACACAAGTCATATCACAACAAACAATAACACCACAAATTAATATCCGGTAAAAAGCACAAAAACAGTCCCAACTACAACCAAGTCTCATGCTGAGTCAAAAGCCAAAGAACAAAGATTGAGTTTAAAGACGAGTTTTAAATTAACTCAAAGTGGTCTTACCTCTTTTTCTCCTTGTCGGCTGTCATCTTTTCACCAAGTCCGCCAAAGTGTCCAAACAACCAAAAACAGAGCAAAAAATTGAAATTAAAAAAAAAAAATCATAAAACACACTGAAGGTAAGATTTCAAAGTGCGTGTCCGGCGCTGACGGCACGACTTTAGTCCGCTCCAAGAGTTGAAGGTGAGTCGGCTCCGAGCGCGACGGAGGGTCGCCGGTCACTTCTTCTCTTGGGGAACCAGGGCCGTACAGTCTCAGAACACTGCCGAGGATTGTACAGCCTCTCCCCGCAGAGGAGCTCCACAAAGTGCCGCCGAATAAAAAACACACGCCGACGTCGGGACACTGCAAGGCAGCAGCTCGGACCGACCGAGTCTGATTTTCGGACTGACTGAGTGAGTGAAGGCAAAATGTGACTGGCAGTGGAGTCGCAGCTCCGGACGTTCATTGGCTGTAAGTCACACATAGGGAACGCCTCCACCAAGCTGGCCCCGCCCCTGAAAAAAATGCACTTGCATGGTTTTCATACGACGGGAGGTTAGAAACGTGCTTGTTTATTCCCCCCCCCCAGTGATATTTCATCATTACAAAGTTATGCCAAGTACTTTTTTTTTATATTTAAAACAAGTACATACACTTATTGAAAAGGAATTCAGACGACCGCAAAGTTCCAAGGTGCTTGTGCGTTTTCCGGACGACACTAGTCTTGATTACACATTTTTGATTGTCATTGTGACGCATTTTTTCCCCCTGGTAGGCTAAAATGAGATCCCGCAGGTTGGGGTTGAAGCCGCGCTCATCCCAAAAATGATGTTGGCGATCAAGAAAAAGATTCAGAAAAAAAAACAAAAACAACCCACACACCAACATGAGTTGTTTGATCATGACGTCATGAGATTTAATATGTGTGCAAATGAAAAATCGATTGTCTTCCTTTGAAGGTACAGTACACATGGTGCCGAGGAGGAATTGAAGTCAATGCAAACTCCAGCGAGCAAAAGACGAAGGCTTGACCAATGGAAGGAGGCCGATGGGAGGAGAGCAAGTTTGAAAGAAACTCCAGCAAGGTCCATCTGTCAAGTATACATTCTTCATATTTGGACAAAGTCTCGAGCCGAAGGAGAAGCAGAAGGGGCAGCTGGATGTTGCCAAATGGGTCATAAATTGATAGACTGCCAGGGTGTTTTCCCACATGGCTTCTGGACACTTTTTGTGGGTATTCTCATGCTCGACACATTTCAAGCTACCATGACAAGTCAAGTTACATTGGGGGGATATTCAAAAGATTCCAGGGACTGAATTTTGAAAACATTCATGAGCTGAGTTAGCGTTTTAAGTGCATATCATCAAATCCAATTTTTTTTTTTTTAATCAGGATAAACATGGCTACAAAATAGTTTTACGTTTACCTCAAAGTGGTCATTGATTTGGCTGTCTCGATGCAAAGTAAGCATTGGAAGACGGTAAAGCGGCGTTCCGACGATCTTGTCATTGGGGAATCCCCGATTTGATTTTTGACATTTCAAACAAGTCGGAAACAAACAACAACAAGTAAAGCCGTCGGTCTGGTTTCAAGCTCAACAGCAGAAGGCATCCCAGGACTCGGCTGATTTGCATACATGTGATGTTGTTTCATTCCCCAAAAATGGAATCTTCTTTGGGCACAGTACAATATATGCCAACCATTTTCACCAATTGAAAAAAAACTTTTTTTAAAATAAGCTGCTGTTGATCAACCTGCATTTCCTCGCTGGGATTTCTAGTGGGGCAAAAAAAAAAAATATCACATGGAATGGATGAGTTCAGCCACTTTTGCAGCCTGCAAAATGAGTCAATTGTGATGTTGGTTATGAAAAGTAATTTGTATGCGACACTTACAGGAAGTGAAGCATTGGAGATTTATTTGAAACTTTTAGCGTGACTTGGTGAGCCCGAATGCTCCTTAAATCCTGACAAGCTCGCGCATCCAATCACATTTGGACACTTTGCACAACCTTGCAGGGGGGGAAAAAAAACCCAAACCAAAAAAAAAATCATAGGAGGAGGGAATGGTTTTGCGATATTTCACTCCACTGCACTTGTGTCCCGTTCCGCGAGTTCTGACCGCGTGTGAGGTTGTGAAGGGCATTTCAACAGTCGCAGGAACTCACAGGTCGGACGGAGCACTTGCAAGTCAAGGTCCCGCAGTCGTGGCAACGCAGATGAAAACGGCGCACTATTCAGGAGCCACCGGCAAAAGGAGATTTTTTTTTTTTTTTTTGGTGGGGGTAGTGGGAAAGTTTTGGTGAGGTGGGGGTAGTGGGAAAGTGAAAGCAAGTCACACCAGACCAACTTTGACCCGCAAGTGCTGACCCAAATTCACTCAGACAGCACTTCTGGGTCAAAAAAAAAATGTAACAGAAGCATGTCGGCCGTTTTGGAGAAGACAAACGCGTGCTGTGAATACAGCTGCTGCTCTTTGATCCCTCCAAATGCACTTTGCTTGTTTCCAACGCGTCAAAAAAAGATCATGGGTGGTGCCCACCTGTGTGTGTGTGTGGGGGGGGGGGGTGATTTCAGGGACAAACATACACGCAGATAAGGTACACTCACACACGCGCGAGGAAGTGTGACATGGCTTCCTCGGCAGATGAACCAGCCACACTGGAAGCCAGACGGTCTGGTCTAATTCCCGGAGCAGTTTGCGAGGAAGCAGTCTCAAGCTGACTTGTGGTTGTGCAAAGATGCCATCGTATGAGTCCTCCGCGGTTCGGCGTTTCGGCCTTACGTCCTCGCCTACGCCGCGATGTCGTCCGCAAAGTAGGAGAAACCTTTGAACTCGTCCTGGTTGATCTGCTTGACCGTGCTGTCGTCCACCGGCGTCAGGACGGGTTCTTCTCGCGTGAAGTCCTGGTCAAAGTTGTTCACGTCCCGTTTGGTTTTCTAATGACACAACATGCAAACATGGGCTGAGGACGTTAAATGTGGCGAAAGCATCGGCGCTGACGGACAGAAGTCTCGTTGCGCCGAAAAAAGACCACTTTTGAGAAACATAGCAAGGTGCAATTGCTAACTTAATCGGATAAAAAAAAAAAAGGCCCGTCTATGACGCCGTCATTGATCAAAATGAGCGGATCATTTGAATCGGCCGTGTTGCAGCCGGGAGAGATGGACAGACAGATCAATAATATCAATCTGTGGGTGAAAAAAAATGAAATCAAGTCGTGAGAACGGAGTATATAGGGGCATTAAATCGGATAAAAATATGCTCTATTAGGGGTGTAGACATTAATTGTGACAAATCTACAAAAAAGAGGTGAGAAAATACGACAATAAACCATTATACACGTCTTTCACATCTGACGTCTCGCTCTCACAGGATTCCATTCGCCACAGATGTGTGTGTGCGCGCGCGTGAGTACTGACGATGCGAGGCTTGAACGGCGGTTGTATCTTGCGTCCCTCCAGCAGCGTCCAGTCGATCTCTCGGAAAAAGGGGTGGAGCTTGATGGCGTCCTCCAGGCCGTGAGCCGCCACGCAGCCCAGACGCTTGCTGGGACTTTTGGTCATGAACTGAAAACCAAAAGATCAGCTGGTCAGGGCGTGTGTGCGCGTGTGTGAACGATCGGCGCCCGCCCGCGCCCGGACCTCTTTGAGTATGCCGACGGCCTCCTTGCTGAGCCAGACCGGGTAGAGGACGTCGTCGTGCAGGATGGACTCGAACAGGTCGTCCTCGTTGTCGGCCTCGAACGGAGGCTGACCCGCCATCATCTCGTACATCAGCACCCCCAGAGCCCACCAGTCCACCGACGGACCGTAGTCCAGCTCCCGCAGGATCTGGGCCCAAACACGCGCAAAGCATCACGGCTTCTTCACATGCTAACATTAGCATCAAGAATACAACAAGTCTCAGACAGGCATAGATTCTTTGTCCTCTATGAAAAATGACTCGCATGAAAGCGATTTACGGAGTAGTAGTAGAAGAAGAAGTCTCTTCTTCCCTGTTTGTGCCTGCATGATTGTACACTATAATACTGCCTCCTGGTGGCCAAGCGGGGCACACTACAAGGAGCAACACACCGAATAGGATGCAGCAATGACTCGTGATACGCAAACTGTGAAATGTTTATGATGTTACTGATTAGTCAGGTTTTTAAAAAGTACAATCTCACTGTTGAATGCTATTTTTCCTCCCTAAAAAAAAACAAAGGCAAATGACTGCGCGCTCCAGAATGGACTCAATTTGTATCCCAAAGCTTTGTCACTGGCAAAAGGCTAGCTTACAACGCGGCGTTGCGCCGACTTTGTTTTCTGACCTCGGGCGCGATGTAGTCTGGCGTCCCGCAGAAGGTGTTGGTGCTGACCCCGTTGAGGATGCCCTCCTTGCACATGCCAAAGTCTGCCAGCTTGCAGTGGCCGTCTGCGTCCAGCAGGATGTTGTCGAGCTTCAAGTCCCTGCAGGATGCAAACAATCACCAACAAGCTCTTCTTGGTTGCAACCACTTGTTGAAATAGAATTGAGTAAATTCAACAAAAAAAAAAAAAATTCTGCGCGGTGCAGAATTTTTTATTTTTCATTCGCTGCCATGGACGTTTAGATTCGTCGAGTGGAAGTCAACCGTTACCCGCTAATATCAAATATCTTCTTCAGGTCACGGCGAGGTGGTGAAACTCGGCAAAACCATAAGCTACACAATGGTGGAATTTCAAGGGTGTCACGCAGCGGGGTTGGTGGCGACGGGTTTGGGGAAAGTCATGTGATTCCGGGCGACGGCGGCGGGAGAAGGAGGAGGAGGGGAGGGGAGCGCTGGAGCAGAAGGGAGATAAGCGTCGACGCGTTGAGAGATGACCGAGTCGACGCTGAATGCGGCCGCTTGGCGCTTGATGGTTGACTGCGAGAAAAATGTCAACATTGCCACTGCCGCCCTTCAGCCACGCTCACGTTCAAAAGTACAGCAGCCGCCCCGGGCGGCGCCGCAGCTCTCATTTTCTTATGCAACGGTTCGCAATTTGTTTCTGAGTAAAAAGTTGAGGAATTCTCCCGAAAAGCCAAAAAGCTTTAATGGATAAAAAGGTCGCCATGGTGACGCTATTGTAGCGCAGCCAGAAGATTTTGACTCCTGCTCCATGGCACAGAGAATCATTTTTCGCACCGCCGCTTGTTTGAATTGTTTATTTCTATCTTGGTTCGAAAGTAGCCAGCGTTCCCATGAAATTCAGCAAATCCATGAGACAAGGGTAAGAATCGTTGCGCTCTATGGAGCTAATTCATTCGACACACTTGGCCGGAGTTATTTCAGAGTTAACATCTCTCAGATTCCCACGCGCGTGCGTAATGCATTCACTTATGCATTATGTGTGGACGAGCGACCGTAGCTGCGGCGCGGAGGCACGCTGTGGACGCACACCCCTCCCATGTGGGTGAGTTCTGTCTGAAATTCGACGCCACCCCGACCGTTTCACATTTGATAAGCCCGCGCGCCGTGACGGCAGCGTGGAAGGCAGCCGGTGCGAAGCAAAAAGCCTGACGGCCCCCGCGGGCGACGCCTGGCCCGGCACACGCGCGCCGCGGATCCACAAAGCGGCAATAAATCTCATTTATTAGCAGCTGATTTAAGATGTCGCATGGCGTTTTGGCACCAGGCCGGCTGCAGGTGTTCACCGTTAACGCAATCGCCGTGTCGGTGGCGATGGGATGAGTCGCTCGGGGGATGTACGATGCGACAAGAAAAATCTCATCTGTGTATCGAGAACTTTATTGCTGATGGTCGGTTGTTCTTGTGAATGTTATCGGCTGCGACAACAAAATAAGCCATCCTGTTGAGTAATCGAGTCACAGTGCAATTTAATTTTAAAAGGTGGTCATCACCCCCCCCCCCAAAAAAAAAATCTGAGATGAAGTGAAAGAGATGAACGGAGCCGCAAAATGGCCGACTCGAAGCCTGAAAGAAATTGGAGTGTCTGCCCATTTCTGTCAATCGGGGGGGGGCGACAGTTGATCTGAGCAGGGCATTACCATCTCACACACATCAGAGATGTTCGGTCCAGCTCTAACGTTGTGGAGATCTGAATTGCAGGCCCATCTGGCCGCCATATCACACACACAATGCCCAAAAGCTCATTTAGTATCATCCATCGCGTTCGTAGGCTTTGGACAAAACTTTTAAAAAGAACCACTAAAAGATCATGAACGTTTAGTCACAGCAGCCTGTGATTTGATTCAACTGCAGGGATGTGGTGGTGGGGGGGAGCGCGAACGGCGGAAATCACTTTCAACATTGTTTGGGAACACACACTCATGCGGCAATCAGGTTGAATTGAAGACATTTCCTGTGTTTGCTGTTGATCTTGGAGAGATTTTTTTTTCTTTTTCCATGACATCCCGATGACACTTGGACAGCTTGCCCCTCTCCCGCTGCACCGCACACACACACAACATCGTGGGAAAAACACAACAGGCGTGTGCCTCAACGTCGCAGGGGGTCTTTGCGTGACTGTTGGCTTAGCGATGCGCTTGGAAGCCCCCCCCCCCGGGGTTTCGTGCAAGTTCACGTGGACATTTTATCAAGGCGCCGTACCCGCCTGAACCTGTCAACTTTTATTCAGACTTTTCAATGGCATCATCGTGTTTTTTTTCGGCACTTTCCGTCCAACTCAAAGGCGACGCCTCATGGTGGGCGGCAACAGCAGACAGAGGAGGATGACCTCAACTACAAAAAACAAAAGCTTTGCTGTTTGTATCACTTCGGGGTTGCGAGGTGAGTTGGCATCAGGTTAGCGGCGTTCAGTCCGGTGTCTGTGAATGAACACGTCATGGTGCGTATGTGTAAAACAAAAAACGATCACAGTAAACAAGTTGAAAGGCGAGAGCGGCAAAAATCACATCCTTGCGCAACAGCAAGGTGGGAACATGCCACTTTTGACCAGAACAACACGACGACGCTCACAGTCTTCGGCTGTTCTCCTCTGCATGCTTTGAGGGGCTTCGCTCATGGTCCGCAACATTCAGATTGGGGCCGCTTTATTTATCCCGCGAGGGGCAAGTCATTTCTAGCTTCACCTCGTGCCTTCATACTTGCACCTGGTCCCTGAATGAATGATACAGTATAGATCAAAGAAACGCGTTGGAGCACGGCGCAGACGCACAGAGAGAGAGAGAGAGAGAGAGAGAGAGAGAGAGAGAGAGAGAGAGAGAGAAAAAGAGAGACAGCAACCAAAAAAGAACAAGAGAGAGAGCGTGACAGTGAGAGCAAGGGTTGGGGGCGGGGGGGAGCAAGAGATATGTCGGGGCAAAAGTAGCCTGCAAATTGTTGGGCAAGGCCTTCATACTTGCACCTGGTCCCTGAATGAATGATCCAGTATAGATCAAAGAAACGCGTTGGAGCACGACGCAGACACAGAGAGAGAGAGAGAGAGAGACAGAAAAAGAGATACAGCAAGCAAAAAAGAACAAGAGAGAGAGCAAGAGAGAGAGCGTGACAGTGAGAGCAAGGGTTGGGGGCGGGGGGGAGCAAGAGATATGTCGGGGCAAAAGTAGCCTGCAAATTGTTGGGCAAGAAGAAACGCGAAGATCGAAAAGCAAACAAGGTTGGAACTTGGCAGAGGGTAACAAAAAAAAAAAAATCATTAGAGCAAATCAATCAAATAAATGACCCGCTCCGCATCAAAAATGAAATCCTGCCAAATGAGCACGTTGTGCGTTCAGGAGCTTCATGGCAGAAGGAACGAAAGGACTCCGAGTGCCGCTTTGTTTTTCCTTTGGGGCACTTTAGAACGTCTGCCCGAAGGCTGGCGGAGAATTCCGCAGATACGAGACATCATCTTGGTGGCTGAAAATTCTTTTTTTGCTTTTGGCGCGACTTCTTCGCTCCCAAGTGGTGGCCAAGTGCCGCTCATTTTGAAGCAAAGTGGTGAAAGCAAGTCTTTGTTTGACGAGCAGTTCCGTCTTGAGCTCAAACAAGAATAATGTCAAGAAATTCCGGCCTTGGTTGATGAACGATGCTTTCTTTGGCCATATCAACTGTGCCAATTGTACCTCATGTCAGATCCGAACTTCGAGAGATGTCAATTTGGGCTTTTTGGGAGCTGGAAACCACCATCATCCAAATTCAATCATGAAAGAGTTTATTTTGTGTCTATTCAATCTACATCACACATTTACCAAAGTCGAAGTGGCTCAGGAATATCAGTTGCACCAGTCCAAAAATGCATCACAAAAAAGGAAAAAAAAGCCCACACACAGTTGCACAGGAGTCACATTTCTTTGGGGAAGCTTATTTTAGAGCAGGGCCTGGACTGCCGCCCGAAATCCCCGTTCCCTAATCATGTGGGCGATGGCGACGAGGGTGTTGAGTTCCGGTAGGATTTGAAAAAGTTTTCCTTTTTTGTTGAAAACGGCTTCCCTTCACCAGAATCCCGCATCCCGGTCGCTTTTTTTTTTTTTTCGCGCCTTGCTGCGGCAGATGCCGCATGCAAAGATAGAGGTAGCAGCGTCACGCCGGGCGTTACCTGTAAATGACGCCATGGCGGTGCAGGAACATCAGCGCCGATGTGACTTCGGCGGCGTAGAATCGCGAGCGCGCCTCGTCAAACTTCCTGGAACGCTGGATCTGGAACATCAGGTCACCGCCGTTCACGTACTCCATCACAAAGAACAGACGCTCCTGAAAGACAACGGGCAGGGCACATGGGTTTTGCTGTCGGTGGCGTTTCTTGCTAAGATGATAAGCTGTTCGCCACCCGCTCTGGCGTGGCGCTAACAGACAAACAACGGACTGGTTGCCAGACAATGGCCGGGCACACATAGGCAAACAACGGACTGGCCGCCAGCTCGGTTGCATAAAAGGCCCCGAAATCCGGGCCGATTTGACCGACAGGAGACAACAATGATCCGATCCTTCCCCACCCGTGTGACACCCTTCCTTTAACCCACGCACGCACGCACGCACGCACACAATACTGTCGCGCAGCCTGCCAGCTCTGTTCTCTTGCTGCCGAAAATGGACCTTCCTGCATTCCAGCTTTCTTTTGCCACATAGGAAGTCAATCTGTGCGTGCGTGTGCGCGCGCAGGTTGTGATATAAACAGCAGCGTATATAAAGAGTCTGAGGGATCTGGACGAGGCCATTGTGTGAGCCCAGCAGGAAGCGGGAGCGTGTAAGGTGCATTTTGATTCTCTTCAACAATCCCCAGTCATCCTCGCGTCGTGTTCGACAAACAAGCACGGGAGACACAAAATCCGCAAAAGGGGCAACCGAGTATCTCTCATGATGTTTTCAAGCGGAAGCAGCAAATACAAAGAGAGAAGCAGCGGCACTGAAACCGAACCGTGCGGAACCCCCAAAAACATTGCAGCATAGGCTGACGCACGCGGTTGTCTGCCAGATTAAGATCGAAAGCAATCCAAAGTGTGGCCACATCAGTCGACAAGGTGGTCAGATATTGTGGTCCATAGTGTCAAACGCTACAGTTCGAGAGACACGTTGCCCTCGGAGTCCTTTGCCTGGAGGAGGTCTTTGAAACTACGCCATGGAGCTGACTCAGCACTATGCAGCATTTTAAAACCAGATCAGACCAGAAAGATCTTGGGAATGGCCCGTTCGTCCAGGCCATACCGTCGACTGAGTGTACGGGACATTTTTGACACGAGGTCGCTTTGAGACCAGTCGAAATTTTGCTAGCTACGATCAAGGCCAAGCGAAGTGAGTACACCGGGCAGGTCACTGGGCAGTCGCACAAACACAAACTTGTGATGTCTTCCGCAGGAAAGCAAGAATGAAAATAAAACCGCCGCACAACCCCTCGCCTCTTAAAAAAAAACACGGAATTTCTAGCCTGGCTTATTTTCATCGGAACATTGAGAGCTATTAGCGCTTAGCCTCCTCCTGCCAAAGATGACCTCGCTGATTTCCACGCGCTCATTCCGCCATTTAAACGTGTCTGAATGTGTGGGCCTGGAAGCTTGTCAAGAATTTATTCTGACTAAATTCCCCACCTGATGTTGTTCCAGCACGACTGGGGCCAAAAACACAACACGTGAATAACAAAGAACAATGCGGGTTTAAGCCGCCCAAAGTCCAGATCTGGTCCGCCGCGTCATCTTATGTGGCCCGATGTCGGCTGCCACACCCCTGCTATTACTCACGGGCATATATTCTTTATCCTCGGCTAAAAACAAAAAATATTTCTGCAGCTCACTGAGGAGTTGCGACCGTCTCCATGTACTGTACTTCCACAGGTGTATTCGACTGCCGTCAGGCGCTTAGTTCCTGCTGGATTGTCCAAATCCTCTCTGGTTTTGGTATGTTGTACCTTGAGCCTTAGCAGCACCTCCAACCCCTTCCAACCTTGCCAAGCCCACCGAGTCCACACTCCTCCGCCTGCTCATCCTCCACAACAACATCGACAGCATGCGTGCATGCACGAAAGGGCGGCTGGGCCAGAAGGTCAAGCGGCTCGTGTTACTGGCCCCAATCATGAACATGGAGCGCATGAATAAGCGCCGTCCGCCGCACCGCAGCACAGCGCACCGCTGATGGCAGGGATGAAAAACTCCTTGGAGTCCAGGGGCCAGAGTCAGCCCCAAAGTGGGCCAGGCCACTATATTTGCGGCCTCATAAGACAGAAATTACAACTGCGGTGTTCGTCCGCTACTTCACCGTTATTAGAGGCGTCAATCAAACCTTGATGTGGCGGAAATTCAGCTATCTCGGGGGATCGTGGAACGTTTCACCCGCGAAACGTGACAGAAAACAGTACAGTCATCCCTCGTTTATCACGGGGGCTACGTCCCCAAAGGAACCCGTGATCAGTGAAATTCGTGAAGTCGTCGTCTTTAGTTTTTTACAATAGTTACTTACACAATACAATACAGTATTGGCATGAAACCAAAGATTCAAGCTTCAAAAAAAAAAAAAAAAAAACCCGCATGAAAGAAAATCCGTGAAAGAACGAAGCCATGAAAGATGAGTCGTGTTATATTGAGGGATTACTGTATTCCAAATCACTGAGGAGTTGCGACCGTCTCCATGTACTGTACGTCTACTGCCGTCAGGCGCTTAGTTCCTGCTGGACTGTCCAAATCCTCTCTGGTTTTGGTATGTTTTACCTTGAGCCTTAGCATCACCTCCAACCCCTCCAACCTTGCCAAGCCCACCCAGTCGAACCTCCTCCGCCTGCTCATCCTCCACAACAACATCGACAGCATGCGTGCATGCACGAAAGGGCGGCTGGGCCAGAAGGTCAAGCGGCTCGTGTTACTGGCCCCAATCATGAACATGGAGCGCATGAATAAGCGCCGTCCGCCGCACCGCAGCACAGCGCACCGCTGATGGCAGGGATGAAAAACTCCTTGGAGTCCAGGGGCCAGAGTCAGCCCCAAAGTGGGCCAGGCCACTATATTTGCGGCCTCATAAGACAGAAATTACAACTGCGGTGTTCGTCCGCTACTTCACCGTTATTAGAGGCGTCAATCAAACCTCGAGGTGGCGGAAATTCAGCTATCTCAGGGGATCGTGGAATGTTTCACCCGCGAAACGTGACAGAAAACAGTACAGTCATCCCTCGTTTATCACGGGGGCTACGTCCCCAAAGGAACCCGTGATCAGTGAAATTCGTGAAGTCGTCGTCTTTAGTTTTTTACAATAGTTACTTACACAATACAATACAGTATTGGCATGAAACCAAAGATTCAAGCTTCAAAAAAAAAAAAAAAAAAACCCGCATGAAAGAAAATCCGTGAAAGAACGAAGCCATGAAAGATGAGTCGTGTTATATTGAGGGATTACTGTATTCCAAATGGTTCCCATTTTTGGGTAAAAAAAAAAAAAAAAAAAATCATAATTTCACCAATCAATTATTTTACAATCTTGCTGCAAATCCAATGATCAATCTGAAATTTCTTAACAAAAAATTGACTGCAATGTCAAGAACATGACATTTTCATCATCTATGTGTGTACTGTTGAATAAAAAAATATATATCCATAAAAATTGTGGCAGCGGATTAAAAAAAACAAAACAAAAATAAAAGAATTTCGCCAAAGTCAACGTCTTAAAATATTTGTACAGGTGGTACTCAGTATTTCAGTCAATTACATTCGAAATGAACTCTCATGTCGTGCTTGCTCCCAGACAGCATAATGTCAAGGAGCACGTATGCTCGCAATCCGCCCACGATGACTACCGTTGCGCTTTCGGGCTTGGCGTGAGGAAAAACATTTCTGATGAATTCACGATGATGATGTTTTTCAACAGAAAGATTATGAGTCGATGAGGCAACGCATTCGCCCTCAAGCACTTTGAAGCCGCAATCTATTGACGCCTCAGTTGTCGCTTCAGGTTAAGCAAAGTCATCATTAAAAAAAATAATAATAAATTCCTTGAGCCTTGGCTCATCTTTGACTTGTGCTAGTTCGTACGCTAGTGGCATCTTATTTCAAAAATCCGTGAAAGAACGAAGCCATGAAAGATGAGTCCTGTTATATCGAGGGATTACTGTATTCCAAATGGTTCCCATTTCGGGCTTGGCGTGAGGAACAAAAAAAAAAAAAAAAAAGAGTGTGCTTGCAAAATGTCTGCCATGACTGCGACGTGTGTGTTTTGGGACTGCGGCGAAAAATGCGCAATCAGAAGCCGTGTGTGAACTCCATGAGGAAAACATGGATTGATTTTTGCCTTTCCACTGAAAAAAGGAAAATCTTCTGCGGGTTTCCCTGTGATTCCGATTAGCAGATTGAAAATGTGTATGTCCTGCAAATGACGTCAAGGGCCCGCTCAGGCATAGGTGGCAAACTCGGGGCCAAATTTACATCTGACTTCTCAGCTTTTTTTCAGGTCTGATTTTAAGCCTTAAAATCCAAGTTTCATTTCTTGAATGATTGAGATTTTATTGCCAGTAAAAAAAAAAATAATAATAATAATACATATTGTATATCTATATCTCCTCCATATAATCAAGAATTTGGCGATGAGGCAGGAGTGACTCGGTTTTGTCAAAGATCATCGATAGAAATGATTTGACCGCGTGAGTGTTTTTGGGTTGATGCGCGTTGGCGTTCCAGACCATCCGTGCAATCGTCTTCAGCGGAATGCGGCCGCCGCTACCGTTGCGTAACCGTATTTACATTGCTGCGCTGTAATTAGGCCGATAAGGAGAACCGGCGCGATGCCACAGTTGATTGCAAAGCAAGGAGGAGGAGGAGGAGGAGGAGGAAGAAGAAGAAGGGAGGGGCGGAACAAAGTTGACAGGAAGTCTTGGACACCCGCAAAAAAAAAATGTCTGCCATGACTGCGACGTGTGTGTATTGGAGAAGTCGTGTGTGAACTCCATGAGGAAAACATGGATTGATTTTTGCCTTTCCACTGAAAAAAGGAAAATCTTCTGCGGGTTTCCCTGTGATTCCGATTAGCAGATTGAAAATGTGTATGTCCTGCAAATGACGTCAAGGGCCCGCTCAGGCATAGGTGGCAAACTCGGGGCCAAATTTACATCTGACTTCTCAGCGGGAGGCCAAGGATTTGATTGCCAACGTTTGCAAAACCACGCAAAGCAATTCAATTGGGATTGCATTTCGACGGAGCCCCTAAAGTGACAGGGAGAAAAAAATCAAATAAAATAAAGAAAGAAATATGTTTCTCTTTTAGACAAGAAACTTTCTCACCCTAACGAGAGACTTTTTCATCCTAACAAGAAAACTTTCTTGTCAGGATGCGAAACCTTCTCGTCCCAATGAGAAAAGTCTATCCCGTGCGAGGGCTAGCCTTTTTACCTGCGTGAGCGAGCTTCCCGTGAACGCTCGTCGATGTTCAACCTGCTTCCAGTACACTGAGACAATGGCAGCAGAAGAGGACTTAACCCCCCGCCCCCATCACGCTCACTTTAGGGCCTCCGTACATTTCAACTGGATTATTAAAAACAAAAACAAGCAAATGTCAAATTCACACGGCTCGGTGGCGGCCCGACAGGTCACCTCGTTATTAGCCGGCTGAGCAGGCGTTATGCAAGACCTCAAAAGCAGGAAGTGTGTGTGTCAATGTACAGTGTATACAGTGTGTCTCCGAGGGCCTGTTTGTTGTGATCACACGCTGCTCAGAGACCACGTGTGTGTGTGTGTGTGTGTGTGTGTGTGTGTGTGTGTGTGTGTGTGTGTGCGTGTGTGTGTGTGTGTGTGTGTGTCTAGTGGAGCGGCGGGTAGGCGGGTCCATACAATACACATGATAAGTATCAAAAATGTTACATAAGCAGCCACAATCCCTTTGTCTGTAGCCTGTGTGTGTGCGTGTGGGTGTGCGTGTATGTGTGTGAGTGTGTGCGATGGCGACTCGACGGGCATGAGCAAACACGTCATGTGACCTCCCGGTCGCCCACCCAGCGCGCATGTGTGTTGTTTGTGTTTGTTGTGCGAGCGACATAACAGGAATAGATGATTTCTGGAGGAGACGCCATCACGCAGTGTTCCAGAACCTTCCGAGAAAATAAACAAAGATCGCACTCATCGAAATTGTTGACCTCAGCCAGTTGAGGATGTCGATGCAACTTTTGTCCTAATTTGATTTTTTGTTAGGCGCTGAAAGTGAAATTTCTTCTTCTTCTATTGCTTTTAATTGCGATTTCAGGGAAAGTTTTTTTCCCCCTCTGAGATCCATGAGGATGTTTAGTCTGTGTGTGTGTGTGTGTGTGTGTGTGTGTCTGGGGGAGGGGCGGGTAGGCGGGTCCATACAATACACATGATAAGTATCAAAAATGTTACATAAGCAGCCACAATCCCTTTGTCTGTAGCCTGTGTGTGTGCGTGTGGGTGTGCGTGTATGTGTGTGAGTGTGTGCGATGGCGACTCGACGGGCATGAGCAAACACGTCATGTGACCTCCCGGTCGCCCACCCAGCACGCATGTGTGTGTGTTTGTGTCTTGTTTGTGTTTGTTGTGTAAACACGTCATGTGACCTCCCGGTCGCCCACCCAGCGCGCATGTGTGTTGTTTGTGTTTGTTGTGCGAGCGACATAACAGGAATAGATGATTTCTGGAGGAGACGCCATCACGCAGTGTTCCAGAACCTTCCGAGAAAATAAACAAAGATCGCACTCATCGAAATTGTTGACCTCAGCCAGTTGAGGATGTCGATGCAACTTTTGTCCTAATTTGATTTTTTGTTAGGCGCTGAAAGTGAAATTTCTTCTTCTTCTATTGCTTTTAATTGCGATTTCAGGGAAAGTTTTTTTCCCCCTCTGAGATCCATGAGGATGTTTAGTCCAAATCCACGAAAACATTGATACCTAACATACCTTTTTCGATATATATTTGAGCTGTTTTGGGTGGAAAATACATATTTATTGCAATATTTCTTTTTTGGGGAGGAGGGGGATGTTCGATTTATTTTTGTTTGTTTCATTTTCCCAAAGGATTTCAGTGGGCATCAATTATATGCAGATTTTAAGTGTTCAGGCTCTACTGAAGCGTGTTTAGACTTCTGGAGGGCACTGTCAGTCATTTGGAATTCATCATTATGGTTCGTTTTTATTTCACTTTTTTATATTTCTCAATAATAACGTTGGTGGGGAGGGTGCATACTATTGCAAAGAAAGCTGCCTGGAGGTCCCGTTTAATGATGACTTTTTATCCTTGACATGAGTCATGTCCAACGTGAAGCTGCAGAATTGCCAAAAACCTCAGCTCACAAATTTTTGTTGTGGTTGCCACGGCGGCGTACACTTTGTACTTGTTGGCTTGTCGACTGACGAGCGTCGGCACCTGTGTCGACGTCCCAGCGCCGCCAGGCTCGGATGGAAATGAAAAGATGTCGGCTTTAACTTCAGCGCGCCCGCGCGCGCACGCGGACGTAACGCGCGCATACATTCCGTGACGGGAACACTTATGCAACATGTGCTAGACAAAACATCCATCAGCCACAGGAAGTTGTTGCCCTTCCAGGGGCCCCTTCAAAGTGCCACTCAATGTATGGCCGGCGGCTTTTCTACCGCTTAGCGTGTTGCAACAACGTCGTTTTATTGTTCCGTAGTTTTCATTTGACAATTCAAGAGTTGAGGCGTCATTCTAAATAAATAAAAATGGGTAGGGGGTTGGGGGTGACCTCACGTGAATTAGCAGTGAGGCAAATGGGGACCATTTCATCAACTATGTCACAAAGTTAATATCCACTTTGTATGTGCCTCCTTTGCACTGGAAAGAATTCAGTTCAGTGAAAATGATTTCCTACAGTACAAATATGTACTTCCAGATTGCAAAATGCCAGTCGACGGCTTTAGTTCAAAGAGACAGCTTTGGTCGAACCTTGTTTGGTTTTGTTTCTTATGTGCCGCCACAACTTGGATGGAATAATAGTAACCCACATGCCACCCGTACAATTGTGAGTTCAGAGTTTGCAGTCCCACTATTTCCGCTTACAGCCCTGTTTGGGGTGTAATTCCACTGTCAAACACTAGATGGCCACACATTCTTTTGTTTGAAAGAAGAGTGAAAGCGGGAAGTATTTCAAGCTCAGCCTAGTTTTTGCTGAAGATTCTTGAACGGTAGTGTTTGACCATTTCCTCAACTATGTCACAAAGTTAATATCCACTTTGTATTTGCGTCCTTTGCACTGGAAAGAATTCAGTTCAGTGAAAATGATTTCCGACAGTACAAATATGTACTTCCAGATGCCGACTATTGCAAAATGCCAGTCGACGGCTTGAGTTCAAAGAGACACCTTGTTTGGTTTTGTTTCTTATGTGCTGCCACAACTTGGATGGAATAATAGTAACCCACATGCCACCCGTACAATTGTGAGTTCAGAGTTTGCGGTCGCACTATTTCCGCTTATAGCCCTGTTTGGGGTGTAATTCCTCTGTAAAACACTAGATGGCCACGCATTCTTTTGTTTGAAAGAAGAGTGAAAGCGGGAAGTATTTCAAGCTCAGCCTAGCTTTTGCTGAAGATTTTTGAACAGTAGTGTTAGTGTTAGGCTAGAAGTTAGGGGTTAGGGTTAGCTAAATCCCCTTCAATCCTGCTTTTTACGCCTACAGAAAGAGATAACAGTAGGTTCCTTTTATAATGGACATCTTTGCGCATGACTATTGATGTTTTTGGTGAGTTAAGTCGTTTGGCAAAAATAAGATTTTTTTTTTGTACAGAAAACAATATTTATGTGTTGTCCATCACTCTCACCCTCTCTTAATGTTAAATGTGCTTTTATTATTTTAAAACTGTGTGTAAAGTCTGACACTAGGTACCATAAATGCTATTGAAACACACCTGGGGAGCATTTAAACAGGATATTTGCGTTCAGAGGAGTTCCCTCATCGTGGGTGGGGTCATGCCTGCCCACGATGGAGGGAAGTTTACGGCTGGATCTGTGTCACGGCGGGTAACTTGTTTTAGGTAAGGTGTGCACATGCGAGATCAGGTGGGTGCCTCAATAGAGTCGACATCGATTTTGTTCAGCCATTCAGATTGCTCATATGCAACAATAATCCCCGCCCCCCCCAAAAAATAAATTAAAAAACAAAAAAACAAAACTCTATATATATAGTTTTTTTTCCCCAAATATACTTGTAATTATTTGCTCCAGCCCACCTGAGATGTAATTGTGCCAAGGTGCAGATATGTGTAACCGGTGGCCATTTGGCGCCCTCTGCAGGCGGTGCGTGCGCACGCAGGACGCAGGCGCTCTTACTTGGGTCTGGAAGCAGCAGTGCAGCTGCGTCAGGTAAGGATGTTGGCGGGCCAGCGCCAGGATGCGCTTCTCGGTCAGCGTGCAGTCCACATCGTCGTCCTGCAGGATGACGTCCTTCTTCAGCACCTTGACGGCAAAAACCTCTTCGCTGCCCCTGAGCTCGGCCAGCATCACCTGAATGCCAAAAATACACAAGAGCAATTTTAGGCGCCACTTTTTGAGCAGCAGAGAGTGGATGGTTCTTCTTCTTCTTCAAAAAAAAGTGGCGTCCGCCTCTTTCGTGCCATCTCCCGCTTGAAGTTTACTGTCAAACTAAACATATTTCGCGAAAAACCTTCTGCTTGGACACAAATGATCACAACATAGGGAGACAGATTAAGATATCAAAAATACTCACAGGTATGCATTCTTCATCCTCTGTGAAAAATGACTAATATTACTGCAGTTTTGTCACGATGTTCTTTTTCCTCAATTAAGCAATGTCTGTAGTACACACTGCCCCCCAGTGGCCGAGTCGCACACCCCATAAAGGAGAAGAGCGATGACTGTCTGTCGAAACTATCATGTCGAATTCAACTCAAGGCAAGACTGCGCAGGTGCTCTCAAATCGTGATTCTGAATCCCCCGCGTCATCGACCGTCAAACGCCTGGAGCGTGCTGACCTTTCCGAAGCTTCCTTTTCCCAGCACTTTGATGAAGACAAAGTCTCTCAGGTCCATCCTTTTGGGCTCGGCGGCGCCGTGAGCCTCGACCCGGCCGTTTTCCCGTCGCTCATCCGTGACCGCGGCGGCGGAGAGCAACGAGAGTTCCTGGCCGCGATGGTCAAAAGAGAGGGCTTTGCGGATGTTCTCCAGATCCTTCGCTTCTGCGCACACGCAAAAAAAAAAAAATAATAATAATTCCGAGACGCTGATGATGATAATTTTGGTGGTGGTGGGTTTCTTCTTGATTGATGGAGTGACGGTCTGTACCTGGGTCACACGGAGACGTGGGGGCCGACCTGGTCCGGTCTTCTTTAGTCTGAGGTAAGGCGGGAAGCCGTTCGAGGTTGTGAACCCGAGGGAGCTGCGAAGACATCAGCCGCCATCACAAAACTTGAAGTTGTGTATTCCGATATTATTCGATTTTTTAAAAGACTGAATTGTTGTTTGTGGATTCATTTGGTCTGCTTTTCAAGCAGACTTGACTTTTTTTAAACATTTGGTTTTATTGAAATGAAATCGAATTAATTGTTAATGTTTCACCCTAGAGAATGATTGTGTAATTTATTTCCAGAAATGATTTTTCATTCAATTGAATTTCAATCGTTTCATTTCATTTTCCTTTTTTTAAACGATTTTTATTTGCTGAAATCAATTTGCCCCCGTTGTGGGCGCAACGAGATGATGCAATCTCAACGGGAGAACGCCAATGTGCAGCTTAAAGCTGACTGGCTGGGGGAGACGGAGGCAGTCGACGCCCACCTGCGACTTTTTGCGCCTCTGCGCGCTGTTGGAGATCTTGTCAGGTGTGACTCCGAGGTCGGAAAGGACTTTGGCGATGCCGCGGGCGTCCACGCCGCAGTTGGGCGCCACGTTGCTCTCGCAGCGCCTGTGGACGTTCACCTTACATACTGACACATACACACACACACACGCACACGCACACGCACACACACACACACACACACACACACACACACACACACACACACACACACAGAGTCTTGGAAATTGAAACATCATCAGTGACTGGAATAAGGTTTTTACACACCGCAAGAACGAGGCGCTTTAAAACTGTCATGGCAAAGTAAAGCCCCTGTTGTAATCCTTGCTGTCAAGTTGGACTTTTAAAATAGAGAAAAGTCTCCTCTCACCCTTGGACTTCTGCTTTTCTCGATGTTGAAAAGCTCATTCGTGGCCAACAACGAGGCACTCTAACAGTGCCAGGCCAATGTGAAGTCCATCTTGACTGTCAAGGTCTACTTTCTTTTCTAAAAACAATAATTTTTCTCCTTTTCCCGTGTGACGTGCACACACTCACCGCTACAACAGGGCGCTCTAAAGCGACTGCTCCAGCCTGAGGCCTTTCTGACCACGGCTGACACGCACTCGTGGCTGACATTGAGGCACTCTAAAAGCAGTCACACTGGAAAGAATTCAGTTCAGTGAAAATGATTTCCTACAGTACAAATATGTACTTCCAGATTGCAAAATGCCAGTCGACGGCTTTAGTTCAAAGAGACAGCTTTGGTCGAACCTTGTTTGGTTTTGTTTCTTATGTGCCACCACATCCCCTAGCCCCGGTCTTTCTATTTGTCTGCCCTTCTCCTTCTTCCGCACGTCTGACAACGAGGCACTTTAATGTGGCCAGGCCTGTGGACTATTTGAAGGGAAGATGCATTGTTGGGCTGAAGGCGTCGCGACAAGAGCTAACCAAGCGCACGTAAGAAGCTGCATCACTGCTGATGCAACGAAGCCACTCAAGGTCTAATACTACTGGGGAGGGGCGCCTCACACCTGAACAGAAGTGTGTCACGCAGCGCCATTTTATCTGTGCCGCCTCCCGCCCACCAAATATATCCGGAAAAAAGGCATGGTGCAAAAGATCTTCATGCTCTCACTCGGCGCTCTCAGTCTTTGCACAGCAATTCCCTTCAAAGGTGTCTTTGGAAACAAAGCCTCCAATGGCACACTCGTACCTTTGCACTGCAGGCCTTGCCTCAGCAGACCCCACAGCAGTGAGCCGCAGTGGTCGCAGAAGGTGAGAACTTTAAAGTTGTGGATGCGGAACTTGTGCGGCAAGTTGACGCTGAACCGCTGCGAGGCCACTGGCTGCGGGACACGCAGGAACGACCACATGGCGAAGAAGAAGAAGATGCTTTGGCTTGTAGCGTGTGCCGCGCTCCGTTTCGGCGGCGCTCACCTCCTCCACTTTGTCGTCCTGCTTCTTCATGGCGGCGCACTTGGTGATGATGAGCTCGTGGCAGCGCTTGTGGACCACACACGTGCAGACTGCAGCCGAAGGCAACACGTCAACACGGAGCAGGACGGAAACCACAGTGAGCCCTTGCCTACCTTGACATTGGTAGCCCTGCTTGCCCAACACGCCCCTGGAGGTCCACGCGCCACAACAACAAACAAAAGAAAGAAAAGGGGCATTTTGCTCAAAAGTCAGGAGACACTTCAACTTTTAACAGCATGACCAAGTGGTTCCGAGCTTTTTTGGGTGGGAACGGGGGGGGGCGGGGGGGGCTATCATTCATTGTACACATCATGGAGAAAAGTTCAGTGGGCCCTTGAGGCACAAGTTGAATTCATGCGCTTAACTCAAAACTACCTCAAATCATCTTTCCCTATTGAAATCAATGGAGATTCCATTAATCTGTTCCAGCCCCCCCCCCCAAAATATTCACATTTCAAATGTGTGCGATGGCATTAAAAATAAATAAATAAAAATAGTACTCCATAATGAATGTCGTGCTTCAAAATCAATACAGTCATGACATTGTTCAATAAAATGTCAGACAGTCCAGGGGAATCGGCCACCGGTGAAGCGCGTGGATGGCGGTTGGTGTGCGACTGACCATATGAAGTCGCGGCAATGCGAGCAGTAGGTGGGCTGCCTCAGGTAGGTGGCCATGAATTTGTGGCCGTTGACCTGATGGACCCGTCGGCGGAGGGCGCCCTGCCGCTTCCTGGGACGCATCCGCTGGCGAAAGACGCGCTCCTCATTGTCGCTGCTGGCCGTCGCCGCTATGCCAAAAATCACAAGAAAGCCGTACGCTCACATTTTTTTCCATCCTTGCTTAGGGAAAAAAAACAATTGCAGTTCTAGCTAACATCTCGGTCATCCTCCGAGTGGTTAAAAATAAAAATAATAAACTTCCAGCTAGCGCTAACACCAACTTCAACACATCTGAAATGGACCCAAAAAGGTTCATAAGACGGCTCAGCGTGGGTGGTGGTATGCACAGTGAGCAGAGGGTGGTCTTCTTCCCTGTGAGGGATGTCGGGGATGCGGGCACGCTCTTTCCGTTATGTGACGCATTTGTTTGTGCTGGTCTCCGAGATTTTTCGCACGTGAAATACACACGCCGGCTCAATAAAAGTTCGCCACCAGTCACCTTGAAGCGTCACTGCTGATTTATTTGGCTTTGTCTGATATGAAACTGCACATTGACCACATGTACGCTAGATGGCACTGTACTACAGTGTGGCCCAAAATGAAAGGAAACGGATCAAAACACACACACACGCACACGCACACGCACGCACACACACACACACACACACACACACACACACACACACACACACACACACACACACACCCTTTGGCAAGCAAATGTGTGGAATTCCAGCTGAAAGGTTAATGTTCATTTACCAAATGGATACAGTGTCAGTGTGTGTGTGTGTGTCTTCTTGTATGGACCCAAAAAGGTTCATAAGACGGCTCAGCGTGGGTGGTGGTATGCACAGTGAGCAGAGGGTGGTCTTCTTCCCTGTGAGGGATGTCGGGGATGCGGGCACGCTCTTTCCGTTATGTGACGCATTTGTTTGTGCTGGTCTCCGAGATTTTTCGCACGTGAAATACACACGCCGGCTCAATAAAAGTTCGCCACCAGTCACCTTGAAGCGTCACTGCTGATTTATTTGGCTTTGTCTGATATGAAACTGCACATTGACCACATGTACGCTAGATGGCACTGTACTACAGTGTGGCCCAAAATGAAAGGAAACGGATCAAAACACACACACACGCACACGCACACGCACGCACACACACACACACACACACACACACACACACACACACACACACCCTTTGGCAAGCAAATGTGTGGAATTCCAGCTGAAAGGTTAATGTTCATTTACCAAATGGATACAGTGTCAGTGTGTGTGTGTGTGTCTTCTTGTCTATTTTGTGTGACACCACGCGTGACATCCCACCTTTATCGATGGGACATTTTGTCTTTGTGGGGACATTTGGTCTGGCGCACGCAAGCTCACGTGAGCTCCTTCCACATCAGTGAATACGGTTGCATTCGAGCAGGGAGCGCATTTAGCAACGGAGGGCACTCTGTCCTGCGCGCGAGCGCGCGGAGGAGCTAATAGTTTGATTGCAGCTCTCAAGTCAAACATGTGATGCGAGGCAGTGCAAACACATTTCACTAATGACTACATTTGAAAGCCAACGCACACACGTGCTCACACGGAGAACATGTGGCCATTTTGCTGCCCCGCGCCACCGTTCCCAGTGATCTAACTCGGCGTTGTACCGTGTTGTATTGATATCAAGATGACATTTTGTCCATATTGTTCAGCCCTACTTTTGATGACCTACTGCAAAACATACTGGACTCTGTTTACACATCCTTGTCCATATTCTGTTGGAGGGCGACGTGCCAACGTCGTCCGACTTCCCATCATTCTCTGGCTCACGGTGGACGTGGCAAGCTGATATTCAGCGCCTCGTCTTTCTCATCAACTCAAAAGCTGTGCTGATGCCAAATCCGAAGCCATTCAAGGCAGTTATGTCGAAGCTGAAATTTTCTCGGACAAGCCGGGCGAGCCTCTCTTCCACACCGGAGCCGCTGAAAAATGTACGTTTGGACCAGTACAAACATCCACGCCAGTGAACGAGTGAAGTGAGTTTTCATGTCAGCTGGCTCTAAAAACGGCGAACCGATCGTACCTTCACTCGACGATTCCGAAAGATCAATGATAACGTACACCTTCCCGTCGGGCTCCAGGTCAACCTGCCAAGACAGAGTGGAGAGGAGGATGAAAAGAAACAAGATCAGGACACAAAAAGCCAACGGCTGATTTCGACACGCCGGTGGAGTGTGCTCCCGCTGCACGTTAGCCCCTTCGCCGCCGATCTTTAAACCGCATCTTTAAAATCATTTTTATTCTCGGGCTTTTGACTCAGCACGAGACTTGATTATTAGTTGGAGTCTTTTGTGCTTTCTACTGCCTTTGTTATGACTTGATTGTTTTTGCATGAATTCTTCTTGCTCCACGTACAGCACTTTGGATACAGCGGCGGTTGTTTGAAAGTGCTCGAGAAGTACAATCGAGTTGCGATGTCTCCCCAGTTGCCGAAACAATTCGTCTCCGTGACATTACGGAGATGTCGCACAGATCTGCTGGAGACTTGAAACATTTGTCGGAATTTACCAGCAAGTCGCCGGCAAGGCCGGCAAGTCTTCAAAAGACATTGCGGAGACTCGAGTCGGCGTCAGGTCACCGGCGAGTCTCCAGGCCACTGAGACACGGGCCCTTAACTTTTAAACCTTTCAAAATAAAGACGACACATTGACTTAAAACATGTATCTGGATCCAGATGATTTTGTTTTACGCAACCACTTGACAAAATGAAATTGAGTAACCTCAACACAACATTTGTTGCAGTGTGGGTTCTCTGTACAAAAGGGTTTTGTGGCTCACAGTTGCAAAAGCCTCCAGAGGTCCACACACACACACACACACACACACACACTCACACACACACACACACACGCACACACGCACACGCACACGCACACACATAAATACACACGTCACGATGTCACGATATGTAAACAAAAGATGGAAAGCAGAGACGAGGTACGGAGGGTGAGAGAGTTTACTGCTTTGGGAGGGTCGCCTGATTGATTCCTTGTTTTAGTTGTCACGTCAAGGACGAAGCCTTTGTTGGTTCACTCGGCAAAGCAGAAGACAGCGCCGTCTTGCACAACAATTGCCACGCACCGTAGAAGTCACGACATTTTGTCCGGGATCCAAACAAAAAAATGTTTTTTTTTTTTAACCATTCACACTCCCGTCTTGAAGATTTAATTTGACTGTTTGATTGTGAGACAAACGAAAGTTACGATTGTTGTTGATGGTTCTATGAATCCCGACTCCTCGTGTTCCAAAGATTCCGTAGGAAACCGAGCTCCGGTGACAGCAGAACTTCTATCCACTCAAGGTCATCCGGGGGTCACATGCAGGTGACTATTTTGCATCCGCGAAAGGGAACGTTGAGTGCGTGAAGCATCAGCGGGGATGAAATGCAGACTTTTGGACAAATCTGCGACATCAAAAGACCAGCAAATTGGGCATTTTTTTTTCATGAGGCGAAGGCACGACATTAACGAATCACAAAATTTGCTGGTGAACTTGAACTACTCATTCACGTCACCTCCACACTGGAACCAGACCGAGTGCCGGCTTCCCACCACACTGGGAAAAAAGTTTGGTTGAATTTCCTCAGTTTTATTTCATCAAGTGGCCGCACGAATGTCATCCAGATGCAGATCACTTTTTTTATTTCCTATTTTGTATAACCACTTTTTTCCCCCCCGTGTATTGCCGATCATGCAAGCCAGCCACGCACGTCAACCCGTTGTCACGATGCAGGAAAAAAAAAAACAAAAACATTCATCGTGAGTTTGATCGATTTCGGTAATTCCGATGAACATTACGGCGGCCTTAAAAAGGTCAACGTCCCAAACGCAATCGCTCCCTTCCTGCGAACGCGCTCAGACATGCAGGTGCTGACACGCTTCCAAATATAGCGAGGCCTGAGGAAGGAAACGCGCGCACACACACACACACACACAAACACACATACACACGCACACGTACACACCCTTCTTCCCACAACTTGATTATGTATTGCCACTCAACTAGACACCCGAGCGCACAACTTCACTCCGTGTCCGTCAAGTTTGAGATGTCACCTTTAACATTGGGCTCGTTTACACAGAATTTGATGAATAAGCATAAAGATGCTTGCGGGTAAAAAAAAAACAAACAAAAAAAAACAGGAAAAAAACAAGTCGTTTGAGTTGATGTTTTAGGAGTGGAGAGGCAACACAAATCTCTGTTCGCTTTGCCTTCCATACTTGTTCTGCTGTGATAGACTGTGTGTGTGTGTGTGTGTGTGTGTGTGTGTGTGTGTGTGTGTGTGTGTGTGTGTGTGTGTGTGCTCCTGTGTTCTGGAGTGTGTCAGTGCAACGCGTGCTCTCTGTCACAGGCACAACATCCTGCCTTGTTTTCGTTCCTTTTTTTTTTTCTTTCTTGTTTTGTTTTGCTTTTTTTCCCCCCCAAGGCGTCGGTGACGTGACACAGTCCAGTTTGACACCACGACAACAATACTATAAACACCTTTCATTTCATTCCTTGTGGATACTTTTTCGAGCCTGAACAAAACTCAGGCAAAAAGTGAATCAACAGATCCATCGCCCTATCGCGAGATCCACCGATCCATCAATCTGGTAGCCACAATAGACGGCAAAGGTCAAACCAGCCGACTTTTGGGTGTCCACTCAATTTGTGTCAGTGAATAATACTGGCGGCGGTGGGGACTCGTTTTTCCAAACTTGACCACGACGACAAATGGTGTCGAGAATTTACCCAACTTTATTTCATCAGGTAGTTGGCGTGAAACTGTTAACTTGCCACGCATGTTTTTGGAACGTGGGAGGAAACTGACGTACCCGGAGAAAAGCCACGTAGGCGCGGGGGGGGGAGAGCATGCAAACTCCACGCAGGAAGGCCGAAGCCAGAATCGAACCTACAACCTTTGCACTGTGAGGCTAACCAGTCAAACATCGTCCCGCACAAATCATCTTACACTAAACTTGAAGATATTTTTTTTTCTGGGATTTAAACATGCTGAGATCCCCAAAAGGCAATTCGGTGGTGGTTGGACAAAAAAAACACAACTGCCTTTGCATCGCCTGCTTCTCGCACCCCATAAACTACAAAACTAGAAAGTAAAAACACATAAAATGCCAACTCTTCACGGTGCGAGTGGGCGGTGAATGAGAAAAATGTGCGTGGGCAACATGAGCGTCGTCATCGCCGTCGTCGTCGATACTCTAAAACATGAATGTACTCACTATACTCATCGTGTTGTGGTTTGGAGCGTCTCCATAGCAACCAAGTCTCAGCAAATATTTTGAGTCTGTAGTCATTTCATATCTCTTCATGTGACGGCGATTTCACGCATGTCCATGTGCACAACGACGCCATTGTCAAAGCCGATTTGGGTGCAGCGTTTCCTCGAGCGCGGCGACCACCGATTCATTTTTATCAGATGGACACTTTGTGCAGTTTACACAGAAACTCGTTGACGTTGGCGACAATTCCAAAATATGAGAACTGAATAACCCCACCGACATGTCAATCAAAAGTGATTGTTGTCAAGAAAGAATTTGGGGGCAGATCTCCTGAGCGGAATTTAATGAGGAATGACAAAAAAAAGACGAATCAAGCGACCTTCGTTTATCTGCGTAGTTGATTGTGGGAGCAACCAGACCAAATCTTTGTTTTTAAATGATTGCTGGAAATGACCAAAAAGGAGCGCAAATTGGTTGCTGGCTGCAAATCCCGATGGCGGACCTTCTGTGTCTTTTGTTTGATCGTTTGTTGAGAGTTTTTTTGTGGGTCTTCCAGAGATATCATTCAGCTTCCCGAAACCGGTTCCCGACAACATCCATTGAAGACGTGTCGCATTAAAAAGCATAATTCACGTTCGGGAGACGGAACGAGAGCAGCTCCCGTCTGCTTGATTTTACGATGGTGGCAACGGCGAAAGGCCGGCGCCGCATTCCGCACGCTTCTGCGTGACGACATGTCTCGCGACAAACCTCGCCGAAGCACGAGAACCGTTGGCGGAGGCGCCCGGGGGGGAGCGTGCGGGGGGGGGAGCACCTTCTTTTCCCTTCTTTCTTTCTGTGGGAAGTCGACTGACAGTGAAAACAGGAAGTCGAGCCTGCTTCATGCCGCCTTTATTTTTAGACGCGAACACACACACACACACTTTACACACGCTGAGGCCAGCGCACGCTTCCTCGGGCCCGACCGTCCACCGCACCCCCCGCAGGGAAACAGGGTCAAGAGGAGGTCAGGTCACGCGGCCTTCCTTGTATTTCCGAGCAACAAGTAAAACGTTATCGTGCAGGACGGATCTTTCACCTCAATTATCCCATAAGTCAAAGTCAAGCTAACGTTAGCATGAAGGAAACGTTGGTCAGTTGACTATTTATTCTGTTCGTTATTCATCGTTGGCTACGGCGGTGTAGCGTGATGATCGAAATTGAATCTACTGGCAGGTGTGCTGGGAATTGTCTTTTGATGACGCAATTCTTTCACGCGGTTTGTTTCATAAAAGAAGCGGTTGAAAGAACATCGACGTCCGTTCCCGTCCTGTCGATCCAAGCCACCTGATAGAGTTGACAACTCGTTTGAACTGGCGGCGTTCGGCTCTATTCAGTTGGCAAACAATGTTGACTTTAACCAAGATGCGGAGTCGAGTCGCTGTCGTGTGCTGCGGATGTTCCTCGCGCTGCTACTTTGAAACGATGGCCCACTCGCGAGGATTTCGCAAAGCAAAGCTAAACAAAACAAGAAGCTAATTGTGAAGATGATCCGGTCCGCCTCCAAAGTCATCCGACGTGCATGCGGACGATGTTTACGTGTGACGACGCAATGAGGGCAGGCGAGGACACGCTGCCGCGAGCATATTTTATTCTTTTTTTCGCCTGCCTGTTGTTTTCTCTCGAGACGTCAACCGCCGCAGAGGGCGTCCTCTTGCAGAAGCTTCTAATCAAGTGACGGGAACGCGGCGCCTGTTCAAGTGCGCCTTCAGTACAGCATGAAAGGACATCAAAACATCAGCACCTGCTGAGTCACCGCTTCGTTTCTCACGTCAGCTTGTACTCTGGAGACGAGTGGATTGAGCGACTGTGCAGCAGCAGCAACAACAACAACGAGTAGAAAGCAAAAAACGGTTTGTTTGCCTTTCAACAGAGAATATGACAACCTTGTCAAAGCGACCTGAAAAAATGAGCAAAACAGTGTCGTGCAGATGCCGGTAGGATAAATTGATGAAACGCGAGGACGGGGGACTCGCGATGACAGTATGAGAGCATCATCACATGCACGAGGACGACCACTTGATATTTATGTTTTGTTGTCTTTTTATTTTTATCCATGCGTTCTTTCAAAATAAGATACTTGAAAAGATCCCCTTTTTCTTTGGAAAACAATCGGCAACGGTGTTTCCAAACTTTCAGACAGGTTGCAGGCCAAACCTAGAACTGAATCATCATCACTTTATGTTTCTGCTGTCAATTTGATGACAACTTTAAAGGATGCTCCTGTTTTTGAACAAATAGAGCGAAATTTTGAACGTTGACTTTGTTTTATTCGATTTGTCATTGACTAAAAAAAAAAAAAAAAAAAAATCTCAACAGATCAATTATTTTTTATAAATCATTAGCTGATTGTGTCCATCTCCTCTATGATCAGATCATGTCATGAGAATCAGAAATCATTTGTTGAATATCATTTCCTCACCCAACGATAATGGATCGAGAATTGATAAGGAATCAGATTGATAAGCAATATCAACAGGATCGACATCGCCCATTCCCATGACGTCAGGAAAATGTGGGCATGATGATGACGTCAGTTATTATTGAGTCCACAGAAAAGCCAATCAAACGAGCACATGCTGGTATGCAGTCACGTGACAAACAAGGACAACAATCCCAAAACCAATCACTGTAAAAAAAATGGCAAATTATTGGGGGGGGGGGTGTAAAAATGCTTACCCAGTCCTCAAAGTGCTTGTTTCCGCCTTGCAGGAGGTCGTCGAAGCCGATGATGCAGTTGGCGACGAATTCGTCGTAGCCGATGGGCGCGTCGTGGAAGACGGCCAGCTCGATGGCGCGGCCGTCGTGCACCTCCGCGGTGAAGTCGTCGTTCCACGCCGGGCTGTTGGTGCGCGGTCGCGTGCACGTCTGGCCCACGCGCGACTCGTCCACGTTGAGCGCCGCGTACGTGTCCAGCAGGAAGCCCTTGGAGCTCTTGGCGGAGGCGCCCACGGCGTGACGCAGGGACCACGCCGTGGGCTTCAGGTCTAGCGCCTCGCAGATCCGGATGCGCAGCTGCCCGTTGAACACCACCATGGTCGGGGACGGGGACGGGGACGGGGGGTCTGGGGGTCCGGACGGCCTTCCCCACAGTCACCGTGACGCTTACAGGTGTCCCGTGGACTAACAAGTGGACCCGAAATCCTAGCCCAGAAAAACAGACAATCCGGATAAACTCGCCACACGCGTCATGTTTGTGTGCGGAGGGGACCGAGCTGGGGATGGGAGGGAGGTTGTTCGGGGGTGGG